AATGTACAAATGTGCTTTACACAATTGATGTATGTATGAATTGTGATGAGTTGTATGAGCCCCTAATAAAACGATTTAAAAAAAAGTTGTATGAGCTCCTAATAAAATGATTTTTTATAAAACAAAACATAAAAGGTCGTGGAAAGGGGAACTGAAAGTGCAATTGGTCTGAGAACTTAGTGAAGACCTCTGGTAATTAGTCCCAGCAGTGACAAATTTCTATCATGTTTCTTTGGTCAAAAGATCAACTCTTGTGCTGTAAACATTAGTCTTCGGGTACCATCTTTGGAGGCTCTGCTGAAGTAATTTTATCCATATAAATAAATATTAGAAAATGAAAGGTATTTTTTCTTCCTCCCTTCCCTCTACTTAGGTGTATATTTGCCTTGACCCTGTAGAAAATTTTAATCAGTGTAATGACACAGATGATAGTGGAGTCGGCTGGGAATCAGAATCCGAGAGCCTGGATGAAGCCCTGCAAAAGTTTAATAAAAATGTAGACACTTTACTTCCTCTGACAGATTTTAGAACAGGTATGCTTGGTTTGTTGTTGTTGTTGTTTTTTGAGTGAAATGTGATTCTTAATCAAATTGCATGTTTTAAAATTGTCTGAAAGCTTGGGTTATTCCTAATGTTAATTGATATTTTTGTCAGACTCAACTTTACACTCATAGCGAATACACTTATAGCGACTGTATAGGACAGGGTAGCACTGCCGCTATGGGTTTCCAAGACTGTAACTCTTTACGAGAAGAAAAAGCTTTATCTTTCTCCTGTGGAGTAAATGGTGGTTTTGGACTGCTAACCTTGCGGGTAGCAGCCCTCTGCAGAACCACAATGCCACCAGGGTTCTTGGGGTCAAAATCAACTCATATCTGTGAGTCCTTCAGACACCCATGTAAACAATAACTGCCCCAGGAAAAGGTAAAAGGGAACAAGAGAACTTAAGTAACCTGGCTAGACCAATAGAGCTGTCCATAAAATCACGCTGTAGTGGGAAATTGCCTACAGAAAGATGTTTTTTCTAAGCTTGAGCTTTTACCAATAGCTCAAATTTTAAGAGTGGCTGTTCAGTTCTTAATGACAGTAAATTTCATTACAAGTCATATAACTGATCGTTTTGGGGGTAGGATAGGGTCAGGTTTTATTCCTGCCCTGGAAGAGTAGCTTTTCTATTTCCAGTCCATTCCTGCCATTTTTATCTAATCTATGTGCTCTCCCCGTGAGGAAAATTCATCTAATTAGTGGTATGTTGACAATTCCCTGTTGAATGCAAATAGTGTGGCGTCTGTGCATTTTTATTGGTGTTATACTTAATGCTCTATTTAGTCGTGGTTGCTTAAAAATAATTGAATATTTCAGCAAAGAGAAGAAGTAGCTTAATATCTTACCTGATGTTACTCTGGGAGTTTATGGCCCACTTTGGGCTGGTAAACAGGACTCGCTAGGCAAACCTCTGCCTGGAACATTCCTCCCCCAGCCCCAGACTGTCTTATGGCAGCTTAGGCTCTCTTTACTTACAGGTTTGCCTTGATTTTCCTAATGAAGTAGTGCCCCCTCCACAGGTAACCCCACATCATTTTCTGTCCCTTTTGAGTAAGGCTGTGACAAGGACTCTGCCTGCCGTGTGTCCTTTGTGATGAGAAGAGCCCCTGTGCCATCAGCGTGCCGAATTGAACGAGTGAAAAATAGATGATGAAAAACGCAGATGACCTTTTGTGAACTACAAGTCTTTGAAAACAGTTCTTTCCTTCCATGTGGTGGTCTCTTAAGGAAAGCTGCAGTCTGTACACAAGGGGATAACTTATGGAGCTAAGCATTTCTTATCTGTGTATTTTTCTGTAGTTACTTTATATTTCAAGAAAAAAATTAAAGTAGGCATATGTACAAGTTGATTCATGGGCACGTGCCTATTACATTTGATGAAGGAATTTATATTGACATCTTTTTTTGCGGGTTAAAAATATGATGAAAACTTTTTTTTAATGTTCTACTTTGAGGAGATGAAACTGCAGTCATGTTTCCAAGTTGGGAATAGTCATTGTTGGCAGGGACGTTTCAGTGAGTCAGTCAGCCATCGTTCACTATGCAGAATGGTTCTCATCAGTGAAGATTTTCTACTGGTCCATAATGATCTCTGCATGTGCAGAAAACTAAGGTTTATAACTCTTTGATAAAAATCATTAAAAACAAAACTATTTGTACATTACATTCATATACTTGTAATGCCACTTTTCTATTACTACATTTTAATCATGGAAATTATGTAGTAGCATATGATGACATAAGGGTATTACAGGGTACGGAAATGGCATATGCCATCTACTCTGCAGTCTTAAAAGGATATGAAGAGAAGGGAGGTACATACTATATTGTTTGTTCCAAAGTTTTATCCAAACCTAGCATTTATTAGAACACGTTAACTTGCTTTTGCCAGGTCATGTTAGGAATACACCCTGCAGTGTGCAGTCCGTTCATTAGTGGTCTAGCAAAGAAGAAACATGTAAAACTAAGTGCAGTGTGACAGTAACAGTTCATTTTAAAGGTGTGGGCCTATTGCCACACAACCATGCCAGTGATTCAGGTAGTCAGGGCTTCTCAGTTACAGCTAAGGTTTAAGAGAAGCGGGGATGTTTATCCTAGAAAAAGGGCTCAAGTAGAACATTCTAGATGAGCAAATAGCCTAATTCTGTTTAGGTAACATATGCAGGTATATGGTAGAAATTGGTTGGAAGGAGATTGTTAAACCCTAACCCACTGCCATTGAGTCACTTCTGACTCATAGCAACCCCTGTGAACTGCAGTGCTAAGTATTTAAGGAGCCCTGGTGGCATAGTGGTTATGTGTTGGGCTTCTATCTGAAAGGCCAGCATTTCAAAACCACCAGCAGTCCATGGGAGAAAGATGAGGCTTTCTACTTCCATAGAAAGTTACAGTCTGGCAAACCCACAGGGGCAGTCCTACCTTGCCCTACAGGGCCACTATGAGTCGGAAGGGACTCAGTGGCAGTGAGTTTGGTTTAGGAAAGGATTTTAAGATGGTCAAGATACCACTAAGGAATTTCAAATAGGAAAGCAATGCCCCTGAATTTCATTGAATTAATTCTGTTGGATTTATAAAGAATGGGTTGGAGGAAAATAAAATTGAAGACAGGAACTGTGAAAACCGTTTTATTAGCTTTGGCCAAAAGTGAGGACTTAAGACTAGGAGTCGACAAATTTTTGAGACAGAAGAGCCAGTCCTGTCCCTCAAAGCAATTTAAAAATTATCCAAGAGATGTAAAACAAATGAAATCATCATTATCTGAATAATATCCTTTAAAGTTTTTTATAGTGAAATTATTTTACTTCAGAGCCACATGTACATCCAGAAAGAGCTGCATGTGACTGACTTGAGAGCTGTAGTGTGCTGACCCCTGACTTAGATTATAAGACAGGGAGAGCGGTTGAAAAGAATGGAAGTACCTCTCTTCACAGCTTACTTTTTAAGAACTGAAAGCAAGATTTATAAAATGGGGTGAAAAACTAAGCCAACTAAGTGCTTAATTCTGGATATTGGGCATAGTATACTTTTGTATATTTAGAACATCTATTTTTAATAAAATAGTGGATAATATTATGATGTTTCCCTTTTTTCCTGTAACTAGAAATGCCTTGCCTTGCAAAGTATGATGATGGCTTATGGTATAGAGCAAAAATTGTGTCCATTAAAGAATTTAATCCCCTAGCTGTTCTGGTACAATTTGTTGATTATGGATCCACTGAAAAACTGACAACAAACAGGTAAAAAAAAAAGTTTTTTTAGTGGATTATGAGAATTCTGTTTGCATTTTTTATCCTCTTTATTGGGAAAATATTTCCTCTTCCTAAAAGAAAAAAAAGGCTACTTTAAACCATATTAAGTATACTTTAAATCTAGAAGTAAAATTTCAATGGGGATATAGTTATTATAAAATCACTGTTTTAAAGTGTACAATTCATTCGTTGTTAGTATATTCAGAAACTTGTATAAGCACTGCCACCATCTGATTTTAGGATTTGAGTTTTTTATTAGCACTTGCCTTAAAATCACTTTCCTACGGCAGAGTACTCTATGGAAGGAACACTCATGAGAATAAAAGAAGTGTATTGATGAGAGAACATATCTGTAGCCAGCCATTGATCAGAGTCATGCTTAAACATGCTTTGTTTGCAAATAAGCCTGTGCTAGTGTGAATTGGAACCCTAGTAGGATACTTTTTGACTTAGCCTTGAATATGAGAATTTTAAGTGTGACATTTTGAACATCTTAGGTTCTTTCTTGACAGACTGTGTCAAATTCCGCTTCACCTTATGCAGTATCCAACCCGAGCCATAAAAGTGCTCTTGGCAGGGTTTAAACCCCCAGTAAGTGATCCAGGAAAGACAAGAATACCGTATTGTCCCAACTGGAGCATGGAGGCATTGTGGGCTATGATAGACTGTCTTCAGGGAAAACAACTTTATGCTTCTTCCATGGTAAATATCTATCTCATCTAGCCAAAATTACTTTGAATTTATTTCTAGGACCCCTAATAACATTGTAAAGTGCTTTATATCTGTTCCTCACTAGATGCAAAAAGTGTAGTAAAGTGTATGAGGATATACTATAAAGTCCTCTAATATAAAAAAAAAATACAACTTACTATCCCTTTAGTAATCTAAAATATAAATATTTAGTGAAGAAGGTAAAAATTACCACGATGAATATCCTAAACCCAGAGACCTTGGAAGCTAGAAAAGGAGCCATGTAAACAAGTAACTAAAGGGACAGGATGAAGTACTATACTTGAGATATAAGCAGTTCCTCCACTGGCACGGCACTGGCAGACAAGGAGAAATATTCTATCTGGAAAGATCTGGAAGTGGTGGCTGAGTTACTTCTTGGGGGACACTCAGCAATTTCTTGAATAAATGAATAAAGACAGGAAGTGATATTAGAGCTACATCTTGAAAGATGAGCAGGAAAGGCCAGAAAGGGGGTGCTGATCCAAGGGCTTAGAAAATCTTTAATTGTACTAATCTCTTAATTGTCCTCATTTTTAATCATTTTAATGAAGTAGAACCTCTACACCAAAAGTGTCAAATAAGCTCCACATTGTTTTAATATAAATATGCTTCTTTAAATATAGGTTTGGCATATCCCAAAGGAAGGAGAGAAGTTCATAGTTTAAAATATGGCTGCAATCACTTTTTGTTTAATGTACAGGGTTGAAGCCTGGCTTCTGATTGAGTTTTATAAATCCCAGGCACCCTGGGTCTCCCCACTGGCAACCAGTGTGAGTGGTACAGCATCAGTCCCTATCTATGAAAAACATACTCTTCCAATTCATCATGGCCTCACTATGCCAACCCGAACTGTCACTCCTTTTTCAGATCTGCCTGGTGCCTATACATGATTTGAGGTTTTTTGTGAAGTACCGGTTATGACAAGAATGAACTACTTTGAAACCTTGCTGTTACTAGAAACAGCATTTTAGAAAACCCTGGTGTGTGTATAGTGGAGTTAACTTACGCACGGTTTCTCTCAACAAGTCTGACAATACAGAGGGCAAGTAAACATTCTTAGAGATGCATGTTCACTGATATATAGGGCTAGGAACATAGGTGGTGCTTGGCTGGTAACCAAAAGGTAAGCTACTCCATGGGAGAAAGATGTGGCCGTCTGTTTCCATAGAGATTACCGCCTTGGAAAACCTACTGGACAGTTCTTCTCGAACTGCAGGATTACTGTGAATCAGAATCAACTGGTTGGCAATAAAACAGTCTTTCATGTCTTACACCGACTGCTGTCTCATTTCACCCACTTTTCTGCTGAGACAGCAGTCGGTGTAAGACATGGGGAAAAAAAGAAGAATCTATAAATTATTGAGAGGGCAGGGGAAGGGAGGGTGGGGAAAGGAGGTGGGAAAATGAGCTGATACCAGGGGCTCAAGTAGAAAGAAAATTTTTTGAAAAAGATGACATGTACAGATGTGTTTGACCAAAATGGATATATGTATGGGTTGTGGTAAGAGCCCCAATAAAATGATTTAAATATATATATATCAATCATGAATAAATTACATATTTTTTTAAAAACTAAAACCTTTTTTTTTCCATTTTGGCTTTATTAGAACAAGAGACTTTGTGTCTCCCAGCGCCTATTTTTATATCTAAGAAACTATTGATTCCTCGATTAAATTATGCTATATGGAAAAAAATGTTCATATACATATACACAAGCATGCAAATCAGTCAAAAAAGATTGCTACAAAATCATAGAAACCTTTATTGGGTAAAAATATTAAAATGTGTGAAGTACTCTTTATTAACATATCCTCTCCTGGCCTATATACTTCAGAAAGTGGTGTTTCCATTTTCCCAACCTCTCCCTGGAGAATTCTACCCTCTTATTTATACTACGTCAACGCAGCAGTTTTGGCATCCTTGAAGAACTCAAATCATGTTCCTTTTAAATGTTCTTTAAATTGAGGGAACAAAAAGAAGTCTGAAGGAAGGCAGAATCAAAGTGGTAGGGTGGATGGGTAAGGTTTCCCAATGAGATTTACCTAGGACAGCCCTTGCTACCCCTGAAGAGTTATCAGGGTGCATTGTCATCATTAGATGGTGTTGGGGGATGGGGGTGGGGGGGGTGGGAATCAGTGCCACTCTCCTGGTCTTTTCCTCAACATTGCAGGTTTCAATTTTCTGAAAACTTCTTCATAAGCCCCTGTGATTCTATGTCTTTCAAAAAACTCAATCAAGATTACTCCTTTGGAATTCCAGACGCAGTTGTCATTACCCTTCTGACATAACTCCCCAGCCCTGAGTTGGACTAGCCCAGCAGAGCCCTCAGATGTCAGTTTTGATTGGACTTTTCTTTCTTTCGAAGGCACCCAGATGAGATTAAAATGAGTGTATTACTGAGAGAACTTGTCAGCAGCCATCCGCTGATGACAGAAACTTGTTCAAACACATTGTTTGGAATAAACCCACACATGTATGAACCTAAAACACTAGCAGTAATATTTTTGGATTTTCTTTCATGTAGACAGATATAGATATGTAGATATCTCTGATGCACAGAGGATAATGCCTTAAGCTTACACTGTAAATAAATTCAGATGTGGAGGACAATGTTTAAGCCTTTTTGGCTATAAGACAGTCTTGTGATCTGGGTAGTGCAAATGCACTATCAAGTCTACCCAAGGTGGGATGGAGGAAAGGCCTGGCTACCTACTCTGGGAAAACAGTCCTCAGCTCTATGGAGCATGGTTCTAGAACTCTAATGCACATGGGTTGCTATGAATTGGAATTGACAGCAACTAGTTTGTTTGGGTTTTCTTTAGAAAACAATTGCCATTTAAATAGAGCAGAGGGGTGGCGTAGTGGTTACAGATTGATCTACTAACCACAAAGTGTCAGCAGTTCTAAACCACCAGCCACTCACAAAAAAAGATGAGGATTTCTACTCCTGTAAAACCTTAGAAACTCATAGGAGCAGTTCTGCAGTATCCTACATGGTCACTGATTCAGAATCAATTCAATGGCAGTGAAAGAGGGATGGAAAGAATATGATTTAGTATTTGGGGCTGGGAAATACTAAGTGGATGCCTGCCCATCCCCTGAGAAGAATGTATCTCAAAGGATGGCACTGAATCTGCAGCTTCGGGAG